TCGTTGCAGCCCTCCTGAGAGTCTGTTGGCCATCAGGATGCTGAGTGGCCTGTCCTCTCATTTATTTCTCACTCTGTCAGAACATCCTCCAATGTACTGCCCAGCTCCCAAATGGTTTATTGTAAGACTTCATACATCACCTTTTGAAACTTCTTTCATTCCCACTGGGAGTGGTATCCCTATGGGACTGGATATAGGCTGTGTTCCAGCTGCAAGGGAGAAAGGTGTCTAGGGTCCGTGTATAAGGAGTATTGAAGTCTGCTCTTGCTGTCATGACAAATACCTTAGACGGGGTGGCTTAGACAGCTATCATTTATTTTTCATAGTTCTGGAGGCTCAGAAAACCAAGATGAGTTACTGGCCAGGAAGCTCTAGGTGACACAGGGCCACCTTCTCACTGTGCCCTCACATGGCCAAGAGAGGGAGAGAGCGATTACCTTTCTCATGCCCTTTTGATTACCAATATGTGGGGACCACATTTGTACTTAATTGTCTTAGTTCAAACCTCTATTTAATCACGCTCTGTTAGATATGTCCTAGGTGTTTCGAGCCTAATATTTACTGATAGATACACAGCGGAAGAGGGTGGTCTCTAATCCTTAAAAACATAGAGCAATATAGAGAAATTAGACAAAGGTAGATATTAGCTGATACATACACTGGTATATGTAAGAACTATAAAGACATTGAATAATGTGTCATAAATGAATTGTGAAAAAGAAAAGAAATTTGTTACGAGATGGTTGAAATTATTGTCTTGATAAATGACCAAGACAGATGGTGAGGGCACTGAGGAAATGCAAGCATGATGAATCATGGTGTACGAGGTGTTTGAGACAGGGGACAACACCCAAGATGCTCAAGGACAGTGTAGGTAAAACGGTTTGGGTGGGAAGCAGATGTGATAACTCCGATGAAGTCTTATTTAAAAATCTTGTTGGGATCTGTATAAAAGCTTTGCAGCAAAAATTTTTGGCAGCTGCCTGGTAAACACGAGCTGTTGTAGGAAAAATTAAAGAGAAAACCACATTGTTTACCCTCCTGCAGATGTGGGGGCCTATGTTTTCCACTGAGAACAAGACATTTGGGAAAAGTCAAGAGGAGCAGGATGGCTTTCTGTGAGATTTCCAAACAAGCATTTTTTTTGTGTGTGAGGGGGCTCTTAGTTTTCTTTTTTTATTGTTGTTCAGTTACGGTTGTCACTGTTTTTTCTCCCATTGTTCTTCCCTGCTCCATCCAACACCCATTCCCAAAGGCATTTCCCACCCCAGTATCCGTGCCCATGGGTCCTTTGCACATGTTCCTTGACTTGACGCTTCCCCTTCTTTCCCCCATTACCCTGCACTCCCCCACCGCTCTGGTCACTGCCAGTTTGTTCTTTATTTCCATGTCTCTGGTTCTATTTTGTTTGCTTGTTTGTTTTGTTGATGAGTCTCCACTTATAGATGAAATCATATGGTATTTGTCTTTCACCATCTGCCTTATTTCACTTAGCATAATGGTCTCCAGTTCCACCCATGCTTTCACAAAGGGTGGGAGTTCTTTCTTTCTGCTGCGCAGTATTCCATTGTGTACCATCATGGAAATGAACCACAGTTGTGTTTTTTTTACTTTGTTTTAATGGATCTCAAAATTCTGTGACAGATTTTGGTCAAGTTGTTTCCATTAAATAGTACTGATTTTAAAAACTAGTAACTTAAAAACTTCCACGCACACACAAAACAAATGGTCCACAAAATATTGTCCTTTCTTTCTCAAGGTTTTATGATGCATTGTAATCATTAGCCAATCCTTTACTATTAAACCTTAGTGGCCAATTGAGACAAACAGTTCTGAGACCTCTCTTCCACCACTGACTAAAACTGGGGTGGCAGGTGTTGGGGATAATATTCATTTAGCCTTCTGAGTTTTCTAGGCAGACTTGGTGACTTTGCCAGCTCCAGCTACCTTCTTGTCCACTGCTTTGATGACACCAACAGAAACTGTCTGTCTCATGTCACAAACAACAAAGTGGCCCAGAGGAGGATAGTCAGAGAAGCTCTCAATGCATGTGGGCTTCCCAGGAACCATATCAACAATCTGGTATCACTAGATTTCAAAAACTTTGAGCCATCTCCCAGCTTTTTCTCAGAATGATGATCAATCTTCTTCAGCTCAGCACCTTTGCAAGCAATATGAGCTGCGTGACAATCCAGCACAGGTGCATATCCAGCACTGATTTGGCCTGGATGGTTGAGGATAATCACCTGAGCTGTGAAGCCAACTGCTTCCGTTGGTGGGTCAGTTTTGCTGTCACAAGCCACATTGCCACAACGAACATCTTTGACAGACATGTTCTTGACATTGAAGTCCACATTGTTCCCAGGAAGAGCTTCACTCAAAGCTTCATGGTGCATTTCAACAGACTTTACTTCAGCTGTAACATTGGCTGAGCAAAGGTGACCACCATGCCAGCTTTGAGAACACCAGTCACCACTCGGCCCACAGGGATAGTACAAATACCACCAATTTTGTAGACATCCTGGAGGAGTAGACACAGGGGCTTGTAGTTGGATGAGTTGGTGGCAGGATGCAATCCAGAGCTTAAGCAGCATGGTTCCACTGGCTCTGCCATCTTTACAGGTGACTTTCCATCCTTTGAACAAAAGCATGTTAGCACCTGGCTCCAGAATAGTGTCACTATTCCAACCAGAATTTGGTACAAGTGCTACTGTGTCAGGGTTGTAGCCAATTTTCTTAATGCAGGTGCTGACTTCTTTAACAATTTCCTCATATCTCTTCTGGCTGTGGGGTATCTCAGGGGAATCCATTTTGTTAACACCAACAACCAGCACACCCAGTGAGTAAGCCAGCAGGGCATGCTCACAGGTCTGCCCATTCTTGGCGATGCCTGCTGCAAACTCGCCAACATCAGCAACAACAATCAGGATGGCACAATCAGCCTGAGATGTGCCTGCAATCATGTTTTTGATAAAGTCTCTGTGTCCTGGGGCATCCATGATGGTCACATAATACTTGCTGGCTTTGAGTTTCCATAGGGAGATATCCATGGTGATACCATGTTCACATTCAGCTTTCAGTTTATCCAAGACCCAGGCATACTTGAAGGAGCCCTTCCCCATCTCAGCAGCCTCCTTCTCAAATTTTTCAATGGTTCTTTTGTCGATCCCACCATGTTTGTGGATCAGATGGCCAGTAGTGGTAGACTTGCTGGAATCTATGTGTCCAGTGACCACAATATTTATATGAGTCTTTTCCTTTCCCATTTTGGCTTTGATTTAGTGGTGGTTTTCTTGACACCTGTGTTCTGGTGGCAAGCCCAATGCAAAAAAGAGAACCACAGTTTCTTGATCCACTCTTTTATTGATGTGTGCTTAGGCTGTTTCCAGCACTTGGCTATCGTAAATTGCACTGCTATGAACATTGAGGTGCATAAGTTCTTTTTGAATTGGTGTTTCAGTGCTCTTAGGGTATAATCCTGACAGTGGGGTCACTGGATCAAAAGGCAGTTCCAACTTTAGTTTTCTGAGGAAACTCCATACTGTTTTCCACAGTGGCTGCACCAGTCCGCATTCCCACCAACAGTGCACTAGGGTTCCCTTTCCTCCACAGCCTAGCCAGCACTTGTTTGTTGATTTGCTAATGATGGCCATTCTGACTGGTGTGAAGTGGTATCTCATTGTGACTTTAATGATGGCAAGAGATGTTGAGCATTTTTTCATATGTCTATGGGCCTTTGTATGTCCTCCTTGGAGAAGTATCTGTTCAGGTCCTTTGCCCATGTTTTAGTTGGATTGTTTGTCTTTCTGGTGTGGAGTCATGTGAGTTCTTTATATATTTTGGAGATAAAACCCTTGTCTGAGGTACACTGGCAATTATATTTTTCCATACAGTTGGTTACCTTTTCATTTTGTTGATGTTTTCTTTAGCCATGCAGAAGCTTTTTAGTTTGAGGTAGTCCCATTTGTTTATTCTTTCCTTTATATCCCTAACCCTAGGGGTTGTGTTGGTGAAAATATTGCTGTGTGGGATATCTGAAAATTTCCTGCCTATGTTCTCTTCTAGGACTTTTATGGTGTCACGACTTATATATAAATCCTTTATTTACCCTGAGTCCCTGAGTTAATTTTTGTGTATGGTGTGAGTTGGTGGTCGAGTTTTTTTTCTTTTCTTTCTTTTTTTTTTTTTTGGCATGTACTTGTCCAGATCTCCCAACACCATTTATTGAAGAGGCTATTTTTATTCCATGTTATGTTCCTGCCCCCCTTTGTCAAATGTAAATTGACCATATTGACATGGGTTTATTTCTGAGCTCTCTATTCTGTTCCATTGGTCGACATGTCTGTTCTTATGCCAGCACCAGACTGTTTTGTCAGGTATTATGATCCCTCCTACTTTGTTCTTCTTTCTTAAAATTACTGAAGCTATTTAGGGTTGTTTATGGTTCCATATAAATTTTTGAAATGTTTGTTCTATATCTGTGAAATATATCATTGGTATTTTGATAGGGATTTTATTGAATCTATATATTGCTTTGGGCAGTATGGTCATTTTAATGATGTTAATTCTTCCAATGCACGAACACTGTATATACTTCCATTTATTTGTGTCTTTCTTAATTTCTTGTCTCAATAAACAAAAAGATTTTATTTTCTTCCTTTGAAAATTTTTTATTTAATCTTTATTGTATTTTTTCCATTACCATTTAGTCCTTTTATACCCTCCTCCCCCCAGCAATTACCACACTGCTGTCCACATCCATGAGTCCTTTCTCCTTTTTGCTCAATTCCTTCACCTCCTAACCTGCCCGCACTACTAACTGTCATAGTTGGAAGCATTTCTCTAGACATCAAGGCAGTCAATGTCAATAGATGGGGACTCTGCCTGGAGCTCATGGTCTCTCATTTGGAAACACAGACCTTCCTGTATTCATTCAGTTGTACATGGTTGTTCAAGGAGGCAAGCTGGGGTTACCTGGCTTTTTGTGACTCCTAACCTTTTTAGGACTTGACCACTCCCTGGGGCTGCAGAATCCTCTTCCATGCTCTCTGCACATCCTTGTTCCTCAGGGTGTAGATAAGTGGATTGAGCAGTGGGGTGATTACACAGTAGAAGAAGGACATGAACTTGGCTTGAGTGCTATTGGCAGGAGGCTGGAGGTACATGTAGATGGCTGGTCCAAAATACATGAGGACCACCACCAGGTGGGAGCTGCAAGTACTGATCACCTTGTACCTTCCTTGAGCTGAAGGCAACCTCAGCACAGCCCTGGCAATGAACGTATAGGAGAGGAGTACGAGCAAGGGGGCCACCAGTGCAAAGGGGATGGCTCCCAGAGCCAGGGACAGGTCATTGGCAGTGGTGTCACCACAGGCCAGCTTGATCAGAACAGGCACCTCACAAAAGAAGTGGTCTACTGTATGGTGACCACAGCGGTGGAGCTGAAGTGTGAGTGTGGCTTGGAGCATCGAATTGGCCAGGCCACTGCACCAGGCGGCAGCTGCCAGTTGTACACACACCTGGGGACGCATGATGAGGGTGTACCGGAGGGGCTGGCAAATAGCCACATAGCGATCAAAGGCCATTACCGCCAGCAGGGCACATTCAGTACACCCTGTCCAGTGGAAGAGGTAGGCCTGGGTGAAGCAGCCCCAGGAAGCAATTGTCTTGTCTGGTCCCCAGAGATTGGCCAGCAGCTGGGGGACAATGGTGCAGGTGACACAAAGGTCCAGCACTGATAGATTGTCCAGGAAGAAGTACATGGGGGTCTGAAGTCTGGGCTCCACTGCAGAGAGAAAGATGATGGAGCTGTTCCCCATCAGAGTGAGGACATAGGCCACCAGCACCACTCCAAAGAGGGGCATCTCCAGCCACGGGAGATCTGAGAAGCCCAACAAGACGATTGTGCTGGAGAAACTTACATTTGCTCCTTCCATGGCTTCCACCTCCTATTTGGCTGCAACAGACAAGGTTAAGAGGACAAACACAACTTTTATGTTTCCATCACTCCATAGCAACACCCTCAAACCTTCAACTATGTCTGTGGGATAATCCCTATAATTGTTATAAGTTCTTAAAAGTGTGGTCTGCAGACTCTGGAGAAGAAAGAGAGTTTATTCTCAGTCACTTATAGCTGTGGCCAAGTCACTTAAGCTCTCTGTGTTTCTGTTTCCTCTTTTAAAAATGAAGATAAAAACTGTCTTTATCTATATCCATACTCTCCTTCTCTCTCTTCCTGTTTTTCTCTTTTCTCTTTTTCTCTTTTCCCCTTCTCCCTTCTTGGTCCATCTCTCTCTCTCTCTCACTCTCTCTCTCTCTCCCCCCCCCCCTTCCCTCTCTCCCCCCTCATCCTTCTTTTTCTCTCAGTTGATTTATAAAATGCATGGCTCTCATGTCATAAAGAAAGAGGCATTATAATCCTTTGAGTCTGGTTCATTTTTTATTTTTTTACTTTTTAAAATCTTTACTGAAGGATATGTTTATTGACTTTAGAGAGGGAGGGAAGGAAGAGGAAAGGGGGAGTGGGGGAGGGGAACATCATCATTTAGTTGCATCCCATACGCACCCTGACTGGGGGTGGAACCCACAACCTTTTGGTGTACAGGAAAATACTCCAACCAACTGAGCCACCTGGCCAGGCAGGCACATTCTTAAAAAGAAGTTTGTAAAGAAAACACTACCTGCTGCTTCCTTCCAGTCCAGTTGGGTTGAGGACACGTGGGTGCTCAGACGGGCTGGCGGCAGGAATGTGCTGTTTCAGCCACACCGCAGTAGGGACTTTTTCTTTGGGGGAAGAGGCATAAGCTGGTAGTTTACTTTGTGCATCCTCTCTTTCTCTTCTAACTCTTGTCTTCCTAGCTTTCACTGAGTTTATTTTCACTTCTTTGTTGTTTTACCCTTTCTTTCCTTTTAGAACTCATTTAAAAATTTTTCATGTGTTTCCCTCAAATTCTTTCTAAAATGATGCTTTTTCATACCCATAAGCTGTGAATTTTCAAGATGTTTACATTCCCTTCCCTCTCAAATCCCTACTCCTTATAGGAGACTTTTTCTGGAATGCTCCGCCAGTCTCTCAAACTTGGTGCCTCCCAAACTCCACTGATGCTCATTCAGCAGTGCGGTGAGCCTTCCCTCCACCCCTTCACTGTGCTCAGTGCAGTCATCATCATCCCTCCCTGCTTCCCTGCTCCCCAAGGAGGCCAGACAGATGGTTGCAGTGTGGGGCCATTTAGGAGCCTGAGTACCACAGTACACAAATACATTTCTCTCACTAATGTCTGTACTTCTCAAACTATCCCATTTTAACTCTATAGTGCAAAATTTTACTGGGATGGGCCATGGTCAGAATAGTCACATATCAGTCAGAAGTGTCACAGATGTTTGTCAGAGTAACTTTTTTTTTTTTAGGAAAACTTACCGCTTTTTTTTTTTTTTTTGCAGGTAGGGTAAGTGAGACTGATTGGAGGGAAGGGGATAGCCTCAGAAAGGTGGACAGATTCCTTCTCCAGAAGTCAGAATCAGGCTGACTGCCTGGGGTGCACCCTGAGTCAATCTTTTAATTGCAGTCCCAGGCTCAGTATTTAAATAGGAACCTCTACTCAAGCTTGGGTATCAATATTGGTGAAGAATATTAACACTACTAACAGTAACTATGTAGAAATAATACCTATTCCTGTATACCAGTTTTTTTCATTCTTCCAGCCCTAGATTATATATATATACATATACATATGTGTGTGTGTGTGTATAATTTTAAAGTTATTCCCAATGGAGGACATTTTTCATCACTTTTAGAGTGAGAGGAAGAGAGAGAGAGAGACATTGATATGAGGGAGAAACACTAATCAGCTGCCTTCTTGTATGCACCCCAACTAGAATCAAACCTGTGACCTTTTGGTCTACAGGACAATGCTCCAGCCAACTGAGCCATACTGGCCAGCACATATCACTGTTAAGATCTATTCTTTCACTGACTTCCAAGTATGCAGTGCAATGTTAACTGTAATCATGATGCTGTGCATCAGATCCCAGAAAGCATTTATCATCTAACTGGCAGTTTGGACTGTTTGACCAGCATGCTCCCCATCGCCTCCTCCAACCAGCACCTGTAACCTCTGCTCCACTCTCTGTTTCTGAGTTTGACTTTTTAAAGTGAGATGATCAGTATATTGCTTTCTGCCCTCTTTCACTTATCATGGCACCCTAACGTTTCACCTACGTTATCATACATAGATTTTCTACAGCTGAATACTATTCTCTCGTTACATAAATACACACACACACATTTTCTTCATATATTTTTTTCTCAAATTTATGTACTCATTAATCAATGAACACTTAGTTTGTTTCCATGCTTTAGCGATGGTGAATAATGCTGCAGTGAACACAGGGGTGCAGGTGTCTCTTTCAGACGGTGATTTTACTTCCTTTGGATAAATACCCAGAAGTGAAGTTGCTGGGTCATGTGGCCCTTTATTTTTGATGTTTGAGAAACCTCCACACTGCCTTCCACAGTGGTTCACCAGTTCACACTCCCACCAACACTGCCACGAAGGTTCTCTATTCTCCACATCCTTGCCAACACATCTTTAAAGAAAAAAAACCAGCCCCGGCTGGCATAGCTCAGTGGATTGAGCGTGGGCTGCGAACCAAAGTGTCGCAGGTTCAATTCCCAGTCAGGGTTCATGCCTGGGTTGCAGGTCATGACCCCCAGCAACCGCACATTGATATTTCTCTCTCTCTCTCTATCTCCCTCCCTTCCCTCTCTAAAAATAAATAAATAAAATCTAAAAAAAGAAAAAAGAAATCCTGAATAAATAATTGCTTAATGATCTTTAAGAAACATTTAAAAAAAGAAAGAAAAAACCTTCTGCTTTATTGCTTTCTCTTTTCCATCATACAAGTAAAACATGTTTTCAGACCTTTGATAAGATAAAACTAAGCAATATCTTTAAAGCAAAAAATTCTACTGCCTAGAGTTAACCAACATTAACATTTCGTTGTATATCTTTTTAAAGATTTTCCTATACAAATATATACTTTTTAAAATAAAACTATTTTCCCAATGTGTAAATATATGTATGGTTTTCTTTTTCATTGTTCACTTTTCCAATTACAGTTTACATTCAGTGTTACTCTGTATTAGTTTCAGGTGTACAGCACTTTACAGACTGGTCCCCTGATATTTCCGGTCCCTGCCTGGCCCTGTGCGTAGTTACTATGATAGGGACTGAGTCTGTTCCCCGTGCTGTAAGTTTCATCCCTGTGGCCAGCCTGTGAGCACCACTCTGTCCTTCAGCTCATCTTAGGTCTTGTGTTGTTGACGAGAGCTGTGTGAGATGAGGGCTCACTGTGGTTTGGATTTGCATTTCCCTGAGTCGCAGCGGTGCTGAGCACCTAGGTTTTATTTTTGATTTGGCAGATTTTTTTATTCTCTTCTTTTGAACTCTTGTTCATAGTTGATATGAATTATGGATGCCCCTTCAACTTTTACTTAATTTGCTTTTTAGAACAACTGACCAACTAACTAAATATAAGGTTATTTGGGGGGAATTTCTTTGCTTCTCACACTTCTGTGGAGAAGACACATCTTTAGGGGGCTTGACTAAGATGATGTCTTGGGGAAGCAGTGTTACCTGCCGCGCTCAGAAGTGGAGGCTGCCTGCCCAGAGGCAGTGCTTGCCCTGTGAGGCACACGGTGTTCTGGCACCGCGATCGTGTCTCCGTTTGACAACAGTGGTGTTAGGTGTTTTCCTGGCAGTGGGTTTCCACAGGAAAATTGGTCTGATGTGACCAGCAGGTTGACGTTTTTTCCTAAATCCCGCATTATGGCTTTATTGTTTGTATGTTGTCTTTCTCTCCCTTCCCCGCATTCCTCATTCTATCCTCTTCGTCTCAGGGTTTTCTTTGTTTTGTTTTGTTTTTTACTTTAGAATGCAAAGTTTGCTACAGTAAATATTTTCATATGCTTCAAATTTGGAAGGATATTTTACTCAACAAAGAGCATATGTAAACTGGATTTAATAAAACAAATGCCATGAAATTGGAAAAGTACTTTCATGAGGCTAGGGAGAAAAAGGTGAGTTAAGATTTTTGAAAAATGCTAAAAGTTAAAATATTTCTATTTATATTTAAAATAAAAGTAAAAAAGATGTAACAGAATCACTGTTACACACAATCAGTCTGGTTTGGGAAAATGAGAGCAAGCAGGGAGCATTTTAGCCCTGTCTTGCCGAGCACCTATGGATGAGTACCTTGCACTTTTTGAAATACTTATTTTTTTAGACTCAAAGGTATGACAGCACAGTATATTAATTTAACTTGAAAATGTCCACAGTTGTGGACAAACCATGAGGATCAGAAAAAGTACCACTGGATAAGACGGGCAAATATTACACCAAGTTTCAAGAGGAGAGAGAGCAGAATCCTGGGACTGGACATTATTAAGCTTGATGATAGATCCTGGAAACACCTACAGGAGATTATTAAATAAATAGTTTGTAAGCATTCTGAGACTGTGATCAATAGTAGCAAATACAGGCTAATTCTAATAAAACATGGAGAAAGTAGTGTGGTCCAGGGGATGGAGCTGTCAGTGTTGGTTAGGGGGTGGGCGCCATGTCCCCAGGTTGGATGCCTGGTGTAGGAAATGAGCCGAGTGTTTTTAACTACAGTGAATATTTCTGAATCCACGTTCTGTCAGTCACAGACATAGTGGTTTTAGGACTAAACAACAAGCAAAAGCAAAACACAACAGCACACAAGAGTCAGCACGGCAAGAGGAGAAGTTTGTTGTCATGACTCGTATCCTGCCTCCCACCTTTAACAGTGATCCAGGCCCATTACAACTTAGCCTCCACTTCCTCACCTCTAGATGAGGAATTAGCACAATTTACACATTGTTTGCTCATTATAAATTGGTGCTAAAGAAAGGGCAAATGCATGTAGCCTGGCCTGTCCCACCCATATTACCTCAAGGTGAAAGGAGGAGGAGGTAGAGGCAAGGAGCTGGCACTTGGGGTGTTCAGACCTGGGCTGGAAGGATGCAGGCTGTCCTCGGAGGGCCTAGGGTTCCGCAGAGAGAGGGCAGGACCAGTTGAACTCAGCCAAGAGGGAAAGAGAGAGAGCGCTTGTTGACATTGGAGGGGCCTCCTGTGATTTATTTTCTTGGATCCTCTGAGACCTGAGATACTTCACATAGATAATTAGTGCAGGGGCTAAGTGTATAAAAACAAATATTCTAGAGGGATTTCTACCCCTACCTTACTGTGTTTAAAATAATTTTTGCCCTGGAGAATATGCCTCAGTGAGCTGAGGGAAGGATCCTGAAATGATAAAATTGTCAGAGAACAGGATTGAAATAGAGTCTCTGGTGCATTCAGCTATTTTTGTGGCCCCCTATCAAAGAATGCTCAGTGGGACAGACTGATGTCCATCCTGGGGGGGGGGGTTGTTAAATATTACACGGTTGACCCCTGGCTGGTGTGGCTCAATGGTTTGAACACCAGCCTGGGAACCAAAGGGTCACCAGTTTGATTCCCAGTCAGGGCACAAGCCTGGGTTGTGGGCCAGGTCCGAAGTAGGGGGCATGTGAGAAGCAACCACACATTGATATTTCTCTCCCTCTCTTTCTCCCTCCCTTCTCTCTCTCTAAAAATAAATAAAATCTTTTTAAAAAATGACATGGTTGATTACATGTAAAGCATTATATTAAACATAAACTCATTATTTCTGTAGAAAATCAAATAGCTCTTTAGATAAACTGATATATATTTTCTTGTTCTGGAGGAAGGCTATGGCATCTTTATGCAATGTTATTTCACAATACCATTTTTCCTGAAAGTTTCTTTTCCACACACAAAGCCATTACTGTATTCCCTTTTTTCCACATCTCTATCATCACCACACTTCAGAGAATGTCAGTGAAGATAGCACTGACTGGCTTTGGTTTGTTGGTTTGTTGGTTTAACTAAATATTATATTGTTGTTCTATTACGGTTGTCCCCATTTTTCCCCCTTTGCTCTCCTCCACCCAGCCCATCCCTGCTCCCACAGTCAGTCCCCACCCTGTTGTCCGTGACCATGGGTCATCCATACTCATTCCTTCGTTCTGAACACCTGACTGGCTGCAGAGATGTTCCCATACTCGGGGGGTTGAGCATGGGCTGATGGAAGCCCAGCTTAGGGACAGGATTTTCACTGTTTTCATAGCTGAGCCTCAGCCCATATTTAAGAAATCTGCACCAGTTTCCTTCTATGTTTAACCCCGTTTTATTGAAAAAAAAACCCCACAAAATTTAATTCACAAAAGAGGCCGTTCTCTATTCTGTGCCTCGTGCCATTCTCTACACCTTCCCTGTATTCTCTAGGTTGCAGTCAGGTGGCTGGTTGGTGAGACTGCAGAAGCCCCGAATTGAATTTTGCATCCAGCAGTCTGGGTTCCTATCAGTCCGTCAGTGATGACAAGTTTGAGCAAGAGAAAGTGAGAAATATAAAAGGCAAGAGTTGCAAAGATGTTTTTGAGGCAGATAAGAAGAACAAAAGAAAGCTGTTAACGAAATATATCATCTTGATAATAAAGTCAGAATCCTTAGAACAAAAGAATAACTTATTCTTCTTAACAGTCTGATGGACACTTGGGCTGTTTCCATATCTTGGTGACTTTAAGTAATGCTGCAATGAACATAGGGGAGCTTAACCTTTTGAATTAGTGTTTCAGGTTTCTATGGATATATGAAGTCTGTCTGGAAAAAGTCAGCTATTGTTAATATAATGAGAACGGTTTGCATGACATCAATGTAACCTGGCAGCCACGGAGAGTGAACTGGAATGAGCATGCATGCGCAATGACGACTTCACTGTATCAGTCAGTAAGGGTGGTAGAAAATGTTAAGTGAGCATTTGTGCTGTGTGGCTGTCACATTCAAAATGATTGAGCAAGTACAGCAATGAATTTACATCAAATTTTTCCTTAAGCTTGAGCATTCCTCTGCACAAACTATTCGGATAATTCAGAGGGCCATAGCTATGGGCAACTGGTGTTTGGCAGCTTCATCACAACAATGTGCCCACTCATGCATCACGTCTTGTGCACAGAGTCATCAAATCACCCAGGTGACTCAGCACCCCTACAGCCCAGATTTGGTGCCCTGCAACTTCTGGCTTTTCCCAGAACTAAAATCACCTTTGAAAGGGAAGAAATTTCAGACTGTTGATGAGATTCAGGAAAACACGATGAGGCAGCTGATGGCGATTGGGAGACCTGTGTGAGGTCCCAAGGTGCCTACTTTGAAGGGGACTGAGGTATCATTGTCCTATGTACAATGTTTCTTGTATCTTGTATTTCTTCAGTAAATGTCTCTCTTTTTCATAGTACATGGCTGGATACCTTCTGGACAGATCTCATATTCTCAGAAGTGGGATCACTGGGTCAAAGGACAGTTCCATTTTTCATTTTTTGAGGACACTCCATACTGTTTTCCACAGTGGCTGTACCAACCTGCATTCCCACCAACAATACAAAAGGTTTCCCTTTTCTCCACTGGCACTTGTTTGTTGATTTATTGTTGATAGCCATTCTGACAGGTGTGAGATTATATCTCACTATGGTTTTAATTTGCTTTTCTCTAATGATTAGTGATGTTGAGCATCTTTTCATGTCTATTGGTCATCTGTATGTCCTCTTTGGAGAAGTATTTTGCCCTTTTTTTTAACTGGGTGGTTTTTTTTTGTTGTTGTTGAGTTTTGTAAGTACTTTATACATTTTGAATACTAACCCCTTATCAGATGTATCAGCAAATATGTTCTTCCATTCTGTAGGTTGTCTTTTTATTTTGTTAATGGTTTCCTTTGCTATGCAAACAACTTTTTAGTGATATAGTCCTATTTATTTTTTCTCTTGTTTCCTTTACTTGGGGAGATAAATCCGATAAACTATTACTATGAGCAATGTATGAGATTTTTCTGTCTCTGTTTTCTTCTAGGATTTTTTATGGTTTCTGGTGTGACATTTAAGTCTTTGATCCACTCTGAATTTATTCTTGTGTGTGGTTTAAGAAGGTGATCTAATTTAATTTTTCTCCATGTATTTGTCCAATTTTCCCAACACCATTTATTGAATAAACTATCTTTGCCCATTGTATGTGCTTGCTTCCTCTATAGAATATAATTGACTATAAAGGTGTGAGTTTCAAGAAAAAGCTCAAATGAACAATCTAACTTTACACTTAAAGGAACTTGAAAGGGAACAACAAATAAAGCCCAAAGTGAGCAGAAAGAAGACAATGATAAAAATCAGAGCAGAAATAAAAGAAATATAGTCCAAAAAAGTGATACAAAAGATCAATGAATCCAAGAACTGTTTCTTTGAAAAGATAAACAAGATTGGCAAAATTTTAACTTGGCTCATCAAGACAAAAAAGAGAGGACCCAAATAAATAAAATCAGAAATGAAAGAGGAAAATGAAAACCAACACAAAAGAAATAGAAAGGATTGTAAGAAAATTTTATGAACAACTATATACCAACAAACAGGACAATCTGAACAAAATGGATAAATTTCTAGAAACATGCAGTCTTCCAAAACTAAATCAGGAAGAACCAGAGTATCTGAATTGACAGATTATACCTTGTGAAACTGAAGCAGTAATCAAAAAACTTCCAACAAACAAGAGCCTCGGACCAGAGGGCTTCACAGGTGAATTTTACCAAACATTCTAAGAAGAACTAACACCTCTTCATCTCAAACTATTTTATAAAATTCAAGAGGAGGGAAGGCTCCCAAACCCATTTTACTAGGCCAGCATTATCCGTATTCCAAAACCAGATAAAGGCACTACAAAGAAAGAAAATTATAGGCCAATATCCCTGATGAATATAAACACTAAAATTTTGAATAAAATATTAGCAAACTGAATACGTCAATGCATCAAAAGGCTTATACACCATGATCAAGTGGTATTTGTTCTGGGAATGCAAGGTTGGTACAACATTCACAAATCAATAAATGTGATTCACCACATCAAGAAAATGAGGGCTAAAAACCACATGATCATATTAACAGATGCAGAAAAATCATTTGATAAAACCCAGCACCCATTCATGATAAAAAAAAAAAAAACTCAGCAAGGTGGGCTTAGAGGGAACATATGTAAACATAGTAAAGGCCATATATGACAAATCCACTGCCAGCATTGTACTCAGTGGGCAAAACCTGCCATCATTCCCTTTAAGATCAGGAACAAGACAGGGATGTCTACTTTCACCTCTTTTATTCAACATAGTACTGGAAGTTCTAGTGATAGCAATCAGATAAAAAGAAGAAATAAAAGGCGTCTCGATTGGAAAAGAAGAAGTAAAACTCTCATTATTTGCAGATGATATGATACTGTACATAGAGAACCCCAAAGATTCCAGTAAGAAACTACTTGAACTAATAAATGAATTTAGCAGAGTAGCAGGATACAAATTAATATCCAGAAATCAGTTGCATTTTTACATGCCAGTAATGAACTAACAGAAAGTAAAATTAAGAAAACAATCCCATTCACAAATGTTTCAAAAAGAATAAAATACCAGCCCTGGCTGGCATAGCTCAGTGGATTGAGCGTGGGCTGTGAACCAAAGTGTCGCAGGTTCAATTCCCAGTAAGGGCACATGCCTGGGTTGCAGGCCACGGCCCCCAGCAACTGTACATTGATGTTTCTCTCTTTCTCCCTCCCTACCTTCCCTCTCTAAAAATAAATAAATAAAATCTTTAAAAAGAAAGAATAAAATACCTAGGAATAAACATAACCAAGGATGTCAAAGACCTGTATCAAAGAATTGTAAGACACTGAAAAAAGAAATTGAAGAAGATACAAATAAGTGGAAGCATATACTATGTTCATGGATAGGAAGAATTAACATCATTAAAGTGTCCATACTGCCCAAAGCAATCTATAGAGTCAACACAATTCCTATCAAGATTCCAATGGCATATTTCACAGAACTAGAACAAATATTTCAAAAATTTATATGGAACCACAAAAGACCCCTCATAGCAACAGTGATCCTGAGAATAAAGAACAAAGCTGGAGGAATCACACTGCCTGATATCAAACTATACTACAAGTCCACAGTAGTCAAAAGAGTATGGTACTGGTATAAAAACAGACACATTGGTCAATGGAACAGAGTAGAAAGCCCAGAAATTTTATTTTCATATTTTTTACTTACAGTTTGCAGTCAACTTATTTTGTATTAGTTTCAGGTATACAACATAGTGGCTAGACTATCAAATACTTCACAAAGTATTCCCCCAGATATTTCTAGTACCCACCTGGCACCAGACATAGTTATTAAACATAGGTTTATGTTCTTGTAGTGCCCTTAATTAGGTTTGGTATCTGAGTAATCCTGGCTTTATAAATGAGTTTAGGAGTGTTCTTTCATATTCAATTTTCTTTGAAAGTTTGAAAATGATTAGCAATAACTTTTATTTAATTGTTTGGTAAAATTCACCAGTGACCCCATCTGGTTCTGGGCTTTTCTGTTTGGGAGATTTTAAATTACTGATTAAATTTCCTTTTGACCACTTTTAGTAAAGTATTTTCTTCTTTATATGAATCTACACCTGCTTTCTTTGGTTATCTTTGCTTCAAATATCTTTTTCCAACCCTAACTCTCAGCCTATATATATTCTTAAAAAGGCCTTATGTCCATAAACAGCTTAAGGTTAAGGCTTCAACATATAAATTTATGGGGACACAATTCAGTCTTAGCATTATATATTCATATATTTTCTATTTGGCTAACATCATGTATGTAAGATATACTCTTCATTGATTTAGAGCTTTACTTTGCACTTTCCCTTTAACTCCTGGAGTTAAGTCTATTGTTGGAATTCATTATACTTTTGATATACACCATAGGACAGCATATATCAATTAGCACTATATTAGATTAATACTGTATTAATACTGTATTAGATTTTTACAATTATAAACAAAGCTTTAACAGTAATTCTTATAACTGTTATGATTATAAATGTAACACTTTTTACTAAATACAGTTGACTTACATTATTATATGAGTTTCAGGTGTATAAATGGTTATTCAGCATGTATATAATTATAATTTTTACACATATAAATTTTTCTGTATATAATATATGGGGGGGTGAGATTACTGAGTGTTACTAAATTCATTTTTGGGAAACACTTTAGATCAAAATTCAGACTTTCCAAACTTAGATGAAACATGATAATAAGCACTATAGAGATAATAAAAATTATTAGGTCTAAATTTCTTGACACACTTACAAATATAAATCAACTCAAAATTCATTCCTTGGAAAATTTAAACTATATAAACTTATTATCTTGTTATTGAAAATGAACTACAAATAAAGTGCACTGGGCACTACCCAGTGTTTTCCTAGGTGAGGAGGCCCAGTGAGACTCTTCCAATGCTGCCCCAGGGAAGATGCAGGGGCAGGACAACAGGCATGTGAGGTGCGAGGCGTTCATGCAGTGCCGAGAGCCACCAATCTCTCCAGATTCATAAGGTTTGACACAGAACCACCAAAATGGTCCCCAAGCGATTAATGCTTGTCTTTCAGCCCATGATGTTTCCCAAGGATAATGTACAGCAAATTGAAAATTAGTTCGGCCTATTACAAATACAAGAGGAGAATTTCAGACAAGATTAGCCATCGATGCTCCCTCACACTGTGGGCAGGACAGTGCTATCAAGGGACAGAAAACACTGAGAAGCAGCAGGGTCCCAGCCACTGAATATGAAAGCTGGAGTTTCCTAAGGTTGCAGGAACCGAATCCAGTGAGATTCCCTGGGCCTCGAAGGACCGGTAGGGCCAACAAGCTTTTCTCTATGAGCAGATAGCTCTCAAGCAAGGGGCATTTCTATAATATAAATTTTCTTTAATGCATTCACTTTCATTAGTCCAATATTTTTCCCTCAAGCTTTGCCAGAATAAGATTGTCAGGCACTCTGGCAAAAGTCACAGATTCTGTCCTCGTAACATGACCTATGATGTCCTCTGTCTAATCTTGTCCCCTGTGGAATGACAATGCAAATATTGTTGTTAAAAAATCACAAGAGCCCCTTGTTTTGATACTGCATTTTATTTGGACACGGAGCTAAATTCAGACAAAACTTATCCCCTAATTTTCACACAGATGCCAACCTCAAAAGCTTAATCTTAGGCGCTATTGTCTTCCCTAAAACAATTCTTAATCTGTTCTGAAAAAACCGAGAAGGATTGAAATCTTGGAAAAAATAAATTGAAACCTCATTTTAAAAGAAATTAGTAGTCAGACTTCCAGCCAAGATGGAGGCATAGGTAGATACACTGTGCCTCCTCACACAACCAAAAGAAGGACAAGAAATTTAAAAACAGAAAACAACCAGAACTGACAGAAAATTGAACTGTATGGAAGTCCGACAACCAAGGAGTTAAAATAGACATATTCATCCAGACTAGTAGGAAGAGTGGAGTCGGGCAGCCTGGCGGAGAGGACTCACAGCAAGGTGGAGGCTGAAGGACCAGGTCCCACATTTGGGTGCGGATAAACTGGGAGGAACAACTGGGGAGCGAGACAGACCCACAACCCAGGGTCCCAGTGGGGAAATAAAGCCTTAAACTTCTGACTGAAAACACCTGAGGGGCTTGAGGCGGTAGCGGGAGAAACTCCCAGCCTCACAGGAGAGTTCGTTGGAGAGACCCACAGGGTCTTAGAATGTACACAAACCCACCCACCCAGGAATCAGCACCAGAAGGGCCCACTTTGCTTATGTGAATCAGGGGAAGTGACTGAAATCCAGTAGAGAGTGGAGCAAGCGCCACTGTTCCCTCTTGGACCCCTCCCCCACATATAGCATCACAACGCAGCAATGGGGGTTGCTCTGCCCTGGTGAACACCTAAGATGGTCTGGATGAATGTGTCTATTTTAACTCCTTGGTTGTCGGACTGCATACAGTTCAATTTTCTGTCAGTACTGGTTGTTTTTTGTTTCTAAATTTTTATTGTCCTTATTTTAGTTGTGCGAGGAGGCACAGTGAGGAGGTGTACCTACGCCTCCATCTTGGCTGGAAATCCTATATAGCATGTTAATAGGAGAAAGGGAGGGGACAAAGGCCACTTACAATGGAGCAGATGATTTCTAGGAAAGATAAATGGGCCCCTAGGAGGCGAGAGGGGAGATATGATTGTTGCTGATGTCTGTCTAGGTGCAGCACAAACCTCTCACCTGTAATGAGTCAATCTTTCCTGTTGATGAAACTCCCGGGGTGGGGGTTTATGATAATCAAGGATTTGGGGAGGACCTGCTTTTAAGCAGATAATGAGGTGCAGAGAAAAGGCTTCACCTGCATTCGCCGATCCTCAAATGTCTGCATTATGCCACATCGGCATGTTTTGTGTTCCTACATAATCATCACTTTACCTTTCCCCAAATTTGAAACAAATTCTTTTTTTCAGACTACACATATAACAAAATTTAAATTTACTCAAGCAATGACACTGAAAACATTTGAAACCAAATGCCTGACTTGTTGGAATGTTAACTTTACCAGTGCTTACTGCGTTACTGGTCATTCCTGACTGACAAAATGCTGAGTCATACTTGAGACTCTGTGTCTCCCCACCCTGTGCTTGGGTGAGGAACTGGTTTTGGTTCCAGTCTTACCTGCAAGTGAGCAGGACCTAGCTGCTAACAGAAACCGTGTTACACTTCACATGCTCCTCCGTCTAGCTGTGCACCCTACAAAAGCAACTGAGACCCAATCTCTCACCCCGTGGGTGGGCTGACACAGGAACATTACAAAGAGCTGTAATTTCCATGGTGGAATATGTGCAACTAGTATTAGAACTCTTACACATGATCAGCAATGCCATGTCAAAGTTTATTTATAAGAATGTTCATTGCAGACTTGTTACAATAGAGAAATTGGAAGTAACCAAAGAAGAGGTTGGAGACGCTCATGACACAGTGAAGCCCTTTGCATCCACCAGTAGCAGGTCATCTCGGCCAGGCCCCACTTGGCCCAGGAGCCCCCTGTTCAAGCAAGGGTCCACCAGGCAGCTGCCCCAGCTCACCCACAGGAGCCGACACTTCTTATGAGGACTCCGCTGGCCCAGAACTGGCTTCATCTCACCTGCCCCAGCCCTTTGCCTACAGCTACTGCAATTCCTTCAGATGACCTCCTTCTCCCCAGGCCCCTCACTGACATAGAAAGATGCTTACAAAACTCTGGGATGAGGGACAAGTTGTCTTTTCTACCTAGTCATGCTGCTAGCAGTTTAGACTCCACATGCCCAGTCAGTCCTCTGGCTCAGTAAAACCTTATTTAACAAAGACTTCAGTCATGGAAGTTAAAGATTTTCAGTTTGACGGAGGAGCTATCTCACTGTGGTTTTGATGTGCATTCTCCGGGTGATCAGTGATGGTGAGCACCATTATTCCGTGAGCCTGCTGGCCATTTGTAAGTGTTCTCTGGAGACATGTCTAGTCAAGTATTTTGCCCACTTTCAAATTGAGTTGTTTTGATATTTTTGCTTTTTGTTTTGTTCTTAAGTCATAGGAGTGCCTTACATATTTTGGAAATTAACTGCTTTTCAGATATGCCATTTGCCATACTATTCACTTAAAATTTTGTCAAGAGGGGAAATATCATGTTAAGTGTTCTTTACACACACACACACACACACACACACACACATACACACACACGCCCCAAAAGGACACCAGGAAACTTGTGAAGGGGACGGGCATGTCTCTCTCCTTAACTGTGGTGATGGTATCAGGAATGTTCAAACCCATCAGATGGAATACACTAATAAATTCTGCCTGTGCATACCAATCACACCTCAGTAAAGCAGGGGAAGGGTCTTTGAAAACCTACTTACTGGTGCAGAAAGACACGTGTGCAGAGTGCTCTCCTTCCTGGAATTCTTTAGGCCAATGGGAGCGTGTGCGTTCACAGAGCAAAGACTAAATAGACATCAAAATGCACACGGGAATTTTTTCAGGGTACTAGGACTCTGGGTTACTTAAATGTTTTTTATGTTTTCTTATTTGCACTTTTTTAGATTTTCAATACCAAGCACCTAACAATTTAATAAGAAGAAAAACGTGTGTGATTAAATATTTGTCTTTGACAGCACATGGTGGGGCGATTGTCTTTTATCAGAGCAAACAGAAGGTACCGTGTGTCCTTTCTACATAAAGTTCTGATATGTGAAAACTAAACTAGTTGGTAGGCAGGAGACCAAGCAGAAAGAACCAGAGAAAGAGCAAGCGAGTAGAGATTATTACCAGGAGCCTGTCCAGGGTGGAAATGACCTGCATGGGGCGGGGCGGGGGAGGAGTGTGTGGAGGCATTGCCTTGAAAGGACTGTCTGTCCTTCCACACAGCACCAAGATTCCAGAGGAAGCTGCGTAGTTCGCAGCCCTGCTGTGTTCCTCAGTCGTCACAGCCACCGTCGCTGCAGAACACTTTCCTTCACTAGAAGCTCTCTTTTGCTTCTATTGCATTCCCTCCAGGGATGAGGTGGGTGACATCCTGATGGTTCATGGATCAGCCTTCCGTAGTAGAAACTGGAGACCTTTGGTGTGGTCCACACCTCTATCATTTAGTGGCTGGGACCTAATAGGGACCTACTTAATTGAGCATTTGGGGATTGATGAGTTTATTTGTGATTAATAAATGGTTTATTGCTGTGGTTCTCAAACGTTAGCAGGCAACAGGAAGAAGCCCCAGAGTTTCTGATTCCACAGGTGTGAGCTAGGACCTGGAATTCGCATTTCTAACAAGGTGACAGGTGCCCAGTGCTGCTGGTCTGGCCCCAGGGCGAGGGAATCCCTGGTCTAGCATCCAGCTGCTCAAGGGGCCAGCAGCAGTGGCATCGGCTGCAAACTTGTGAGAAAGGCAGAACATCAACCTGGTTTGGCAGCATCAGAACCTGCGTCTAACAGGGTCCTCACATGATTGGTGTGGACGTGAAACCCTGGGGAGTGGGGCTCTGGAAAAGAGGGTCTGCCAAGTGAATCAGATGAAGCAAACACTAGTAACGGGGTGTGTGACAGTCCCGTTCCTGTCATAATTTTTCTCAAGCTTATGATTAAAACAAAATTTAGAAAGAACCATAAGGCACTTGAACCTCTGAGCTCTGACGATGAGTAGGGGTAAATTAAATTTCATCAACCTTGGTATCCTTATTTGAAAAATATTTTAAAAATTGGAATAGTTGAACACAAAGTTACTGAATTCAGGAAGCCAGTTTCATGTTGGTTGAAAACTGCAGGGAGCCAGGCACCTGCCTGCACTCTGCTGGGCGGCAGGCACCATGAATAAGCTGTTTCATTCCCCCATCAGCAGTGGCTAGGAGTCAGCAGCCAGCGAATTGCCTGCCTTATCACTGCAGCCAGCCTGTGCTCTGTGGCTGTGCCGGGTGGTGCAGGGGAGGAAGTGGGGACCAGATGGGGCAGATGGGTCTGTCAGGCCCTGGCTCCTTCCCCTGGCGGCCTTAGCCTTGGAACAATGGGAAGAATGCCTGCTCCGTGGCCCACCTCGAACAACATGAAGACCACACTCCTTTCTTTCTTGGAAGTCTTGTCTTTTGAAGTGTCAGACCTCTGAGGAAGGACCTTACAGATGATTTGATTTTCATGACTTGGGGAACACACTGAGATTTTCTTTCTTTTTGCTTTTTTTTTTCTTACAAGACACTTTCTTCTTGTGTTTGGAAGAGGAAAGAGGACAAAGTGTTGGGAGTCTTGACATCAGATTTCTGAGGAATAGGTAAGCCCCTACCCCGCCTGATCCTGCAATCCTGGGATTTCCTTGAAAGCCGAGTGACCCCAGAGTGTTAGGTTTATTCTCTCACGCTTCAGTCTCCTGTTTTCCCACACTTGTGTGCATGTGCGCACACACCAAAGCGTGCCTTCCTCCTCCCCTTCCCTCCCCTCCCCTTCTGAATGGTTCCCTCCTTCTCTAACACACCCATCCCCTGGGCTGGTGGTTGGCAGGAGCACAAGCCAGTGGTCAGATGCCACATCCGGCCTCGCGTTGTGCTTTTCGTTGCTTTGGTCGAGACCACCCAAAGTGGAGTGCAACTCAGGAGCTGAGAGGCCGAGTCGTGCTGGCAGGATGGGAAATTGTCTCCTGAGAAAAGTCCGGTGAGTCCTGACTCTGGGCCCTGACCTTCTCTGGAGAAAGAGAACAGGGGGGAGGAGGCTGGGCTTGCACACTTGGAAGGGTGGGGCATTTGTGCTCAAGAAGGCTTAACCTTGACAGCATCCTCCAAGAACACACAGTGGCCCCCTGCCCGTCACTCCTTCCCCTTCCTTGCTTTGGAACCGGGGTAGGCCGCCAGTTCACTTGACTCCTGAAGAGTCAGAACCTGTCTTTACTCATCAAGGTAGAGAGATTATCTTCCCATTCACCAGCTTTAAGGGCAGCCCCTTGAATAAACAGGTTCTTGAAACTATGGATGCAAAATCATGCACTCAAATGTTTTTGATTTAAGTAGTGACTTTCACCTCTCTACTTTTCAAGTGCTTTTGAAGTTGTAAAACAGATATGGATAACAGGCATTTTTTTACATCTTTCTTAAAGAATTGTCTCCTGAGCACCCTACTCTGCATTCGCTCTCCCTGACCCTGCCAGTCTTGGTATGTTGTTATCTAAGAAGACTAGTTTTTACATTTACATATAATTGACACATAACACTGTGTAAGTCTAAGGTGTGTACAGTGCATTGATTTGGTACATTTATATATTATAATATGACAGTTTTAATACAATGTGCCTTGGAGAAAGCCTCTTTGGATTGAGGTTATTTGGTGTTCCATTTGCTTCTTGGATTCAAGGATCGAGCAGCTCTTTCCATAGGTTTGGAAAGTTCTCATCCACTATTTGTTTGAACAGACTCTCCATTCCCCTCTCTCTCTCTCCTTCTTTTGGAATGCCTGTTGTTCTCATATTGCTCTTTCTGATGGAGTCAGACAGTTCTCATAGGATCTTTCATTTATTTTTATGCTCAAGTCTCTCTCTTCTTTTCTCTGAGTCATTTCTAGATTTCTATCTCCAATATCATGAATCCTTTTCTCCATCTGGTCAGCTGTATTTCCTGTGCTCACTAGTTCATTCTTGATCTCTTTTATTGGGTTCTTCATCTTCAGAATTCCTGTTTGGTTCTTTTCTAAAGTTTAAATCTCTATGGTAAAGTACTTGTTTCATTCATTGACTTGTTTTCTGAGCACATTAAATTGCCTATCTGTATTTTCTTGATCTTGTTGAGTATTCTCAGAACTATAACCTTGAATTCTCTATTATTTATATTGCATATCTTCATGTCTTTATGGTTTTTTTTCTGGAAATTTTTCATTTTCTTTCTGAGCTGCCACTTGATCTTGGTTATTCATTGTATTTGATGGATTCCTTCTCTGTGTAGGTTTTTAATATGAAAAGATCTTTCTCTTCTTTTCTAATAGGTGGTGCTGAATCACAAGTGTGTTTGTTTGAGATTTTTAAAAATTTATGTATTTTTAGAAAGAGGGGAAGGGAGGGAGAAAGAGATGGAAAGAAATGTCAATGTGTGGTTCCCTTTTGTGTACCCCCAAGTGAGGACCTGGCCTGCAGCCCAGGCATATGCCCTGACTGGGCATTGAACCTGTGACCCTTTGGTTCACAGGCCAGCACTCAATCCACTGAGCCACATGAACCAGGACACAAGTTTGTTTGTTTGTTTTGAAGTATATTTTATTGATTATGCTATTACAGTTGTCCCATTTTTTCCTCTCCTCTTTATTCCCCTCTGTCCTGCACCTGTTCTCCCACCAGCTTTCCCTTACCCCCTCAGTTCATGTCAATGAGTCATACATATAAGTTCTTTGGCTTCTACATTTCCCACACTATTCTTAACCTCCCCCTGTCTATTTTGTACCTACCATTTAAGCTTCATATTCCCCATACCTTTTCCCTCATTCTCTCCCCTCCCTCGCCTCACTGATAGCCCTCCCTGTGATCTCCATTTCTGTGGTTCTATTCCTGTTCTAGTTGTTAGCTTAGTTTGTTTTGGTTTTTGTTAATTTTTAGGTTCAGTTGTTGCTAGTTGTGAGTTAGTTGTCATTTTACTGTTCATATGTTTTATCTTCTTTTTCTTAGAGAAGTCCCTTTAACATTTCATAGAATAAGCAATTGGTGATGATGAACTCCTCTAACTTGACCTTATCTGGGAGGCACTTTATCTGTCCTTACATTCTAAATGATAGCTCTGCTAGATAGAGTAATCTCGGGTGTGACTGCCTTGCATGACTTTGAATACTTCTTTCCAGCCCCTTCTTGCCTGTAAGATTTCTTTTATGAAGTCAGCTGGTAGCCTTATGGGAACTCCTTTGTAGGCAACTGTCTCCTTTTCTCATGCTGCTTTTAAGATTCTCTCCCTACCTTTAATCTTGGCCAATGTAATTATGATGTGTCTCTGTGTGTGCTTTCTTGAGTCCAACTTCTTTGGGACTCTCTGAGCTTCCTGGACTTCCTGGAAGTCTATTTCTTTTGCCAGATTGGGGGAGTTCTCCATCATTATTTGTTCAAATAAGTTTTCAACTTCTTGCTTTTCCTCTTCTCCTTCTGGAATCCCTATTATTTGAATGTTGTAAAGTTTAAAGTTGTCCTGGAGGTTCTTAAGCCTCTCCTCATTTTTTTTTTGAATTCTTGTTTCTTCATTCTGTTCTGGTTGAATGTTTATTTCTTCCTTCTGCTCCCAATCAGTGATTTGAGTCTTGGTTTCCTTCCCTTCACTGTATATTTTTGGTTATTTCACTTCGCATAGCCTTCACTTCTTCCTTTATTTTTTGACCATAGTCAACTATTTCTGTGAGCATCCTGATTACCAGTGTTTTGAACTGTGCATCTGATAGGTTGGTTAGCTCTTCATTGCTTAGTTGTTTTTTTCTGGAGTTTGATATATTCTTTCATTTGGGCCTTATTTCTTTGTTTTGGTGCACCTGTTTGGTTGTAAGGGGCAGAGCCTTAGGCATTCACCAGGGCAGGGCAACCCACGTTGTAGCACTATATGTGGGCAAGGGGTCCAAGAGGAAACAATGAGGCTTGCTCAGCTCTTGGCTGGTTTTCAATCACTTCCCCCACTACCCACAAGCAAATTGGGCCCTTCTGGTGCTGATTCCCTGGTGGTTGAGTTTGTGTATATCCTAAGACCCTGTGGGTCTCTCCAACGAACTCTCCTGTGAGGCTGGGAGTTTCTCCCACCACCACAACACACACAGGATTTTTCAGCCAGAGGTTTTGAGGCTTTATTTCCCAAAAGTTTTCTTTTGTGAAATCAGCTGATAGCCTTATGGGAACTTCTTTGTAGGCAACTATCTCCTTTTCTCTTGCTGCTTTTAAGATTCTCTCCTTCTCTTTAATCTTGGGTAATGTAATTATGATGTGTCTCGGTGTGTGCTTCCTTGGGTCCATCTTCTGGAACCCTGGGTTGCATGGTCTGTCTCGGCCACCCCCCCCCCCGCATTTGTTCCTCCTGGTTTATCTGCATGCAAATGTGGCACCTCCTGGTCTGCCAGCTGCCACCTCACCCATCCCGGTCCTCCAGCTGCCACCTTGCCACACATCCTCCTGCCCTGGCTGCCATCTCCACCCCTCCTACCAGTCTGGTGAATGTTTCTTCTTTAATTCCTTGATTGTTGGACTTCCTTATGGTTCAATTTTCTCACAGTTCCGGTTATTTTTTAAGTTTTTGTGTTGTCCTTCTATTGGCTGTGGAAGGAAGCAAAGTGTATCTACCTACACCTCCATCTTGGCTGGAAATCCTGAATCACAAGTTTTTAGCTCTGTGAAATTCCATTGTTATCTCCTGCAGCCAGATGCTGCCATCAGTGTAGCAGGGATTCATGCAGGTGGTGTGGGCTGGAGGAACAAAGACAACTTTTATGGTTTTTAAAAAATATATTTTATTGATTGTGCTATTACAGTTGTCCCATTTCCCCCCTTCATTCCCCTCCACCCTGCACACCCCCTCCCACCCACATTCCCCACCTTTAGTTCATGTTCATGTGTCATTAAGTTCTTTAGCTTCTACATTTCCCATACTATTCTTGCCCACCCCCACCCCACTGTCTATTTTCTACCTACCATCTATGCTACTTATTCTCTGTACCTTTTCCCCCTCTCTCCCCCTCCCACTCCCCTGTTGCTATCCCTCCATGTGATCTCCATTTCTGTGGTTCTATTCCTGTTCTAGTTGTTCGCTTAGTTTGTTTTTGTTTTAGGTGTGCTTGTTAATAGCTGTGAGTTTGTTGTCATTTTACTGTTCATATTTTTTATCTCCTTTTTCTTAGAGAAGTTCCTTTAACATTTCATATAATAAGGGCTTGGTGATGATGAACTCCTTTAACTTGACCTTATCTGAGAAGCACTTTATCTGCCCTTCCATTCTAAATGAAAGTTTTTCTGGATAGAGCAATCTTGGATGTAGGTCCTTGGCTTTCATGACTTGGAATACTTCTTTCCAGCCCCTTCTTTCCTGCAAGGTCTCTTCTGAGAAATCAGCTGACAGTCTGATGGGAACTCTTTTGTAGGTGACTGTCTCCTTATCTCTTGCTGTTCTAGGATTCTCTCCTTCATTTTAATCTTGGGTAATGTAATTATGATGTGCTTTGGTGTGTTCCTTCTTCTTTGGGACTCTCTGAGCTCCCTGGACTTCCTGGAATTTCCTCAAATTTCCTTTGGAAGTTCTCCTTTATTATATGTTCAAATAAGTTTTCCATTTGTTGTTCTTCCTCTTCTCCTTCTGGTACCCATATAATTCAGATGTTGTAACATTTCAAGATGTCCTGGAGGTTTCTAAGCCTCTCCTCATTTTTTTGAATTCTTATTTCTTCATTCTTTTCTGATTGTATGGTTTTTTTCTTCTTTCTGGTCCACTCCATTGACTTGAGACCCAGTTTTCTTTCTATTACTATTGGTGTCCTGTGTATTTTTCCTCATTTCACTTAGTGTAGCCTTCATTTGTTCATCTAATTTGAGACCAAAATCAACCAATTCTGTGAGCATCCTGATCACCAGTGCTTTGAACTGTGTATCTGATAGGTTGGCTATCTCTTGGTTGCTTAAAGTATTGGCTCTGGGCTTTGATTTGCTCTTCCATTTGAACCTT